GGGGCCAGAGTGGTGAGTTCACCTGGCCAGAATCACCCAGCAGCGGTGAGTCATGGTGTCCAGAGAGAGGGGTCCCCTTTCTCACTTTGGCCTTTCGATTTTAATGAGGGTGCCTCCTGGCAGCCCCTGGCTCCTGGCCCGGGTCATGAGAGCCCAAACGGTGAGTCACTGAGAAATCACCTCCTAAACAACTGAAAATTAGCTTTGATTCCTGGGGAGGTTTGGGCCACAGCCCTTCCTCCAGCAGCATGAGAGTGTTTTCCAGGAAGAGCCAGGTTTCTGAGACAACCTCTTTGCTGACCCACTTTGAATCCTGGCCTGGCCAGGATGAGGCCCCTGTGAGCCCTGCCAGTGTGGACCTGCAGCAGAAAACCAACTACTGTAAGTAAGGCCAGAGCCAGGCAGGGAAATCCAGGCAAGCTTCCAGGCAGAGGTGTCCTCAGCTGAGGTTTGAAGTGGGAGCGTTGGGAGGACTTGGATTTGGAGGAGAGTTCCAGGCATTTGGGAAATGGGGTTAGGTTTTTGGTTTTCCCACCTGTGGCACGATGCAGCCAAAAACACTGGGTCTCCATCACCAAGCCACGGACTTGAGTGTCAGCTCCACCACTTAGGGGCTGTGTGACCTTGGCCAGTCCTGTCACCGCTTAAGCCTGGCTTTGTTATGTGTAATAGGGGGATAATTAGACCTCCCCTTTAGAGTTTGGGACCAGATGAAAAGGAAATGGAATGTGTAAAGCTTTTTGCAGAATGCCATGCCCACAGGAGGAACTCGTAAACACTGGGCCCCTCCTTTCCTCCCTCCTTACCTGGCAACACAGGAGGCAGCTACTGTCCCAGGAACTCGAAGCCCTCCCTCCACTGGAGTAGCGCCTGGAGCTGGGCGGGCCCCCAGCATCTCAGTGGGATTATTGCCCCTACGTGACAGATTTTAACTTCCACGCTGGAGGAAGATCAGAAGGAAGAGATCCCAGTCTCTGCAACGTCGTCTTTCTCTTGGTGTAAACCAGTCCCTTGTAGTTTAGAAAGTATTCATTGCTGTGCAGTCAATAAAGTTGATTGAGGATGTACTATGTGCTGGGGCTGCACTGGGGAGGAAAACTGGACCTGATTCCTGCCTTCATGGGGCTGGCAGTCCAACAGGGAGACTGACATAAGTAATTATGTACTGAATGGCAACGTTTAAACAGGGATAGGTAGCTTGACAGAATGTTCTAGGGGTTATGAGAGTACTTAACAGGGGCGTCTGATTTGTGCAGGGGGCAGTGAGGGCTTCTCTGGGGAAGAAATGATTTAGCAGGGATCTCAAGAAGTTAATTGGGTGAAGAGGGATGTGGAGAGAGTTTAAGTGGAGGGACAGCCTGTGCAAAGGCCCTGTGGTCTGAGGGACATGGCACCTAGGAGGGGCTGAAAGGAGTCTGTGGTAGTGGGCGGGCCTTGAAGGGTGTGATTCACTGGGAAGCTGACTGTGACCTCCCATTCACCTCACAGTAAGCCTTTTGCTTGAGCCTGATGGGCAGGTGGCCTAGAGCTTGCAGGAGGCTGGAGAGGCCACGAGGGTCCCCCATGAGAATGAAGCACCTCTCTGAAAGACCTGGTGACATTTTCATCCCAACAAGGAGCCTCTGTGAGTGACCAGAGGACAGGGAGGCTTGTCCCCCATCAGGAAGAGGCTTTGGCAGCTGTGCTCCCACAGCTGGGCTCTCCCACTTGTGATGGAGGGTAAAGAGAAGCATCCTCGGCCTGGGTCTGTCGTCATCTTTTATAAGGTTGCCAGCATCCTTGTAAAATGGCACCGCCGTGTCTTGCTGATTTCTGTCCAGGGAACCATGGGACGCCAATGAAAGGTTTGAAACCGGGAGGTGTCCTGCTCAAATGGTTCCGGCTGCTGAGAGGAGAATGAGTAGGAGGGTAGCAGGGTATCCCAGGCTCCAGGACCCCATATCAGGTGATGGGGACGGCCGTGCTGGCATGTACTAGGTGGGCGGTGGAGCCTGAAGAGGAATAATGAGAGCCTCAGGCACCGCCCCCTCCCCGCCCCTTCACTGAGCATTCATGGGTGCAAGGGTCATGGGGAGGGAGAGGAAACTGAGGATCCTCGTTCCACAACAGCTTCGGTCCTCAAGCTGACCCAAGAAGGGAGAGGCAGGGGGATGGTGCTAGGGAGCAGGGAGGCTCACACACGTACGGGCAGGTGTACTGCATGGACACCTTTGCGTGTTGCTTGGGGTGTGTCTGTATGTGCCTGTGCGTGGGTGTGGGCGGGGGGCGGTGGGGTCGTGCAGGCTCCGCCCACTGTGAGGGAACCCTTTGCTCCCGGGTGCCCCAGGGTCCTGGTTCA